AAAGGATGTTCACAAAAGCGGACAGATGCACATGAGCATGCACACACGCAGTAATCCGAGCAGCGATGTATCATCTGTGAAACCACATCCTCTTCCCCGGTGTGGAAAGAAGGGAATGCGACACCCCCATTGTCCTGGATGAAAAACTCCCCAGTCATCACTAACATAGGCAGGAATATCAGCATTTAATATTCACAAGGGGACTGCAAAGGTCACAGTCCCGACCAAGGAGGGAGAGACGCTGGGAAAAGTCTTGCACTTGAACAGAAATGCTCAGGAATTCATTTTCATTTCTTTTCCAGGTTTCCCACTCTTATTCTACACAATACACTGATTTGGACTTACTTTATTTATATTTCCTACACATCCATATAAGATGTCTTATAGAAATCAGAATGCTTAATTAAAATGTTTATTTACGTGTCAATTACAGCAAGGTAGTTCCTACTTAAAAGAATAAAGCATATATGTTTCACACAGAGTAAAACATGCTTTGAATGGATAGACTGCACACTTTTCCTTCATTTGTGCTGGATTATTAGGATGTTATACAACCTGGACTCTAATTACACCTCTAACAATTAAGTTGGATTTTAGGATGATTGGCTTTAAATCGTACGTGGCCCAAGGCATAAGCAAACTAAGTAGCTTCTAAAACCCCGCCTTGCCAGCAGGGGCCCCTGATCATGATCTAACAAAACAACCTTTTTCACACCGCACTAAAAAGAATTAAGAAGCTACAGATTTATTTGGATTTAATCGAACCAAGGCTATGGCTAAGTAAGCATCAGTGTCAAATTTTAGTCCGATTTAAGGACATCTCTTTACTCTCTCACAAATACATCTTCATTAATTAGAATTTTATCAAAAAACTAATAAAATTTTAGCTTTTTAGCTCAAAAACCTTTTTTTTTTTGCGACATTAACACAGTGTAGCTAAATATTATGTTTATGATAATTTTAGTCATAATCTACTTTTTTAGTTTTCTTAAAACTTTGCTAAAAAGATATTTGATTTAAGTACAAAATTATAATGTTTTAACCAATTGATAGTCCTCACGGTACAGTTGAATATTGATACAACCCATCTGACAGTAATCAGGAGGTAATAAGGAGTGAAGCTTAACCCTGTAATGCAAAATGTATCATATTTGATACATATGGTTTCTGAAATGTTTTGCGTCTGACACCTTTTGCATAATTTAATGGTAAAAACTTTGCTCAAAATCCTAATGTACACAATCAGATATACCTGATAACAGAGGGCAGAAGACTACACAAAAAATAATCTTGACTTATCGCATAGTAATAAATTATTAATATCAAAAATGTATTTCTGTTTTTTCTTTTTGCATATTTTGTTAAAAGGCCAAATAAGGACTTCAAACCAAAAAAAAGTAATTTTCTGTTTTGTTTTATTCTTGGATCGGGCTTTAAAGGGTTAACAAACTGGCTGCTCACACACAACCAACTTAAAGCAAGCTTACTGAAAGTTGAGTGGAAGGAAAACGTGTGGATGAAAAATAAAAGTAGATTATAACAGGAGTTAGAGCAAATCAGATTTTAGAGTTTGAGGTAATTTACAAGGTTTGGACTGGAATCAACACACATATATCTGTCTACGAAATGAATTACAACCAATTAGATCAAATAGACGTCATCATGGAGGAGTGAGTCATGCAAAGTCAATTAATTTATGCAATCAGCTGTATGTCTTTAGACAAAAAAAAAACATTAACCAATTTGCTGACTTGAATAGATGATCTCTGTAAAGTGTATTGAGATGACAGCTGTTGTGAATTGGCACCGTATAAATAAAATGAATTGAAATTACTTTTACCTGAGTTAAAAAGATAAAGGACTGGACTTTTGAGGGGAGACAGAGAAGCTCAGCTGCCACATAGTGTGCTGCTATTTGGCCAGTTTGGACTTTTATCCAGGCTTGTCAGACTTGCCATCTGCTTGGAAGTTTTTCTGTTGACATCTCAACAGAAGCACAGGTCGATCTCCTTCTTGCCTTGCTGCTTGGAAACAGAAAGAAGATGCTCTATGCAGTACATGGAGATCTTTTCAGGCAGTAACGTTTCTCTATTGCTTTTATTTTGCAATAAAAAAAAAACATTTCAATATCGGAGAACAAATCTTTTTATACTATTGTAATTTATCAATATGCTTGTCTGCAAGCTGTGTTTTGTGGCCAATGATATCATCTTCTTCTATAACCTGCTGATGTCATCTCTAAGAAGGCAGGGCGAACCACCAATCAAACATAATGTCGCCTTTTCTTTTAAAAGCAATAGAAGTGATATTCCTTGTAACGTGGTTCATGTTGCATTGTGTTGGAGACAAATTATCATTCCTGTTTTTGATGTGAGCTTGTAATCATTTTTTTTACCCACTACATTCCTGCCCTGAAAAAAATCTCATCTGTCGCTAAATGAGACATGGCCAGCTGCATTGTTTGATGAGGTAGGAGACAAGGCCAGCGCTGCCGATGGAGATGATTTGTTGAGTTTCAAGGAGGGAAGCTGACCTTCAGCATTAAAAGCTATAGAAAAAAGGTAGGCACGCACATGTGGTGGGCATGCTCACAAAGCACTGCGGTGCAGATATTTGCTTTCTCTTCCACTCTTTCACAACTTGTTCTGCTTTTGTCACATTTTGAATGCAACAGCGAAAGGCAAAGAAACACGGTATGTTGAATAAATTCAAAACAAGCATTATTATTATAAAACCTGTTTTCTACATTAAAACTCTTCAAAGTTTTACAAATAGTTTTATTTAGCCCTCCTCAGCCACCATGGCCCAGCTAAAGAAGGGAATTCACACAGCATGATGCTGCTACCTCCATGTTTCACTGTAGGGATTGTGTGTGGGGGTTTTTTTTTCTAATTTTTTAACTTATCATTCTTTCATAATTGCCAAATTTGTGAAGTGAACAGCGAACAGTTTGGGTACTCTTAAATAACCCAACTCTACTTCATGGATGATTCTAGACCGGAGCCCAGAGAGGTGTGTAGTCCTGGTGAAGTGACCCTAATCTGAAAACATACTCTGCAAAAATGTAGATGCAAGTAAGTCAAATTTCTTCTTCAATACTATAATTTCCTTGATTTAAACTCATAGGTAAGACAATTTGCCAATTAAATAAAATGATTTATTTTTTAAATAGAAAAAAAAAAAACAACTGAAAAAAAACAACAGATAGTAATAGAAAAAACACAAGAGCATATTATTTTTAAGTCGTAGGGAGGTCATATTTAAATGTCAAATCATTCTGGCTTAAACATGTATATAAATGTACTCTTTATCAGACTTTATGGTCACAAAATGTAGAAAATTTCTATTTCAAAAATAAAATCCTGTCTTAAAATCTGTGGATTTTTCTTGTCGTTATCTTATGCAGACCAGTTAGTTATACGTCAGCCTGTACACCTAAATTTGGCAAATCATATTTCAACGGTCATCTGTCAATCAAAGTTTTTCAGTCACATTATCTTGATTCATATGTTGCAGCTAATATACGCAACAGTTAAAATAAGAGATAAGAATCATTTACTTTCCCATTGAGTTCCGTCCCAGTGTTCACAGGGATGGACGTCTGTGTCTTCAGCAGGCGTAGAGCTAACAGAACTGGCAGCGTTGCGAGGCAAGGGCTCAAACATGTGCGGCTGTAAGCCTTCTACACCAAACCAAGCTTCTGCCGCCCTGGCGTCCTCTTCCCCAACACCTTCGTCCCTATTTTCCTCCCCTAAATAAAAAAAGTATGACAGAGGAGACTCATCCACGACCTCCGACACAAAACTCTCCTCCTCTTGCATGTTTCCGCTGTCCATAGCGTTCCTTGACAGTGTCGTTGCTAAGTGCTACTTGGTCCCAATGAAATTTCCCATTGAGAAATTTCCAGAGAAACCGGCCACAATCAAACTTGCATGCGAACCTTTCGCAACAACAATCCCACCCCCTTGATAAACAACCAATCACATTCACTTTATTCCCTCGTCTAAAGTCGTGCACCCCTCGGCAGAATTTGGAAATATAATCATTCATTTGGTCATCATATTCACATCCTCAAATGATGGGAAAATACACTTATTTAAGGAAATGTGCACCTATTTTTAGATCTTTTTTTACACTAATACTTAATCAATTTCCTATCATTTGCTGACAGAAGAAACATTACTGATTAATTATATTTCTTCCTTTACAATTTACTTTATAAGTTATTTAGAAATGACAGTAGGCTTCAAGAGGATCACACATTTCCTCTGTTAGATCAGGAGTCTTCAAACCTCGACTCTGTGGCTCATTAAATATACTACACTAAGCACTTTTGCCAGATTGAATGCAGTACTGGGATGTCTAAAGGCCATTGTTGACACTGGATTTTATTCAGTATAGGAACAATTACCTGATTACAAACATTTCACACTTTTCAGATTTTATAACACATTATTAAGCATAACTTTATTTTGTTCAATCATAGAAAATTCTAAAGAAATCGAATGAATTATTAGATTTTAATATGGGGGGAAAACAGCAAGGGGTGTGAATACTTTTGCAAATCTCTGTTAAGCTACATACATGCATATTTTCTGTCCACCAAAGCTCAATGCTGCAAACGTCCACCCTCTACTGAAAAGTATGATGTAGGAACAACACAAGAGGCAAATAACGCAAAGGAGAGTGAACATGGCCGTATACAGCGGCGCTCTGCAAGATGACAGGTGCAATCAGTCAAGCTGAACAGGAGCATCTTCAATCACACACCCTGATTGTTGTCAGACAGCCTAAAACTGGAGTAAAAGGAGGATAAGAGCTCATAGAGCTGCAGACTGATGCGGGCTCACTGCTGCCACCCATGCGCACCCGGCAGTAGTGCCTCATAATAAACCGATGCAACGCACAGGGTCCACTAGGGGGCGCATGGTCACCAACCTCTTCCTCTCCATCTCTCTCTCTCCCTGTTCCCCTCTTCCTCCGGCTGTAGCAGGGGGATGCCGGAGTCCAGCCGCAGCTCCTCTCTCATTCATGCTGAGCGCTGCTCTCTGTGCGCACGGATCTGCAGAGCTGAGCTTTCTGCTTCTTCTGCTCTCTGACAAACCGAGCGGGAATGGAAACGTCTTCTGCTGCAACTCTGACATTCTAGTGAAAGATAAAAAAGGGAAGAAATTATGCCAAGCAGGGATAATGCAAAACACTTGATCTGTAAGTACATGCAAACTTTTTCCCTTCATTTTTGGGGGGGGGTTTGAAATATTTTTTTTTTCATTCTTTCCCACATCTGACCAATTCCTCTGGTGTCTCTTTGCGTTTCTTCTCCTGATTGATGCATCCCTGTTTCCACCTGGAGAAACCTGCAATGTAATAGGGGAATCCTTTTTTGTCTTTTTTTGTATTTGAATTTTTCCCTTTTGCGTCCTGAGCGATCACTCCGGTTGTTGGTGCGCTGAAGCAGCCATCTGAAGGCTGCGGACCCTCCGCAGGACTGAACATCACCAGTTTGCTTCTCCCTGGAATTTGGCAAGTTATTGTAGGAGGTGGAGGGTCGCTTTAATGTTGAGCTTTAAGGCACTGCGCAATTTGGATTTGGAGGCAAAGTGGACGTTAGTGTTTATAGACTGCATGGATTTGAGGCTTGTTTGATTTCTCTTTGGTGCATTACGGTAGTTTCTGAATCAATTACGATTCCCTCAATTAATCCAACCAACCTGGCAACATAAGTTAGGATGTGACCTATGAATGGATTTGCATTTGGATATAAATTGAAGCCTCTTCTTTAAATATTTTGGTTGTGCGCGCGCTGCTTAGGAAAGGAGCAGGTGTGAGCACCTATAGATATTTCTTTCCCTCCTTATCCTGGGCTGACTGAACACACAGCAAAGCTTTTTAGTATAAAACCCCTAAGAAAAGAAGACTAAATATACTTAAACCAGCTTAAGGTTAAAAACTTTTAACTCCTATATTTTGATATTAAAGAATGTTTTCCATCAACGTTTCCTCCCATTTGGTTCGCAAAGAAAGTCCAAATGCTGCTTTTAGTTTGTTCCTGGAAATTCAAAATAGTTTGTTTTAACTTATGCAACCAAATAGAAAAAAAAAACACACAACAAAAACCCAACAAAAATTTTTTTTTAGTTTGAATAATTTTTCAATCAGAATCAGAAATACTTTAATAATCCCAGGGGGAAATTACTTTTGTTACACGCTCCAGTTACAGTTTTATGTGATATATACATCCAACTATACAATATAATAAAGATAAAAAATAAGAATAAAAAGAGATAATATATACACATAGCTCTTCTGTATATATATCTGTATGTATATCTATGCATATCAGGTGGGCTAAAACATGTTTTAGGGAATATCTGATTTTTGTAGGTTCTGAATTTGAATGATAATAAAATAAAAATTTGTTTCTTAATGTATGTTGTTACATTAGTTTTTACATTCAGAGCATGCTGTTTTTAAATTCAACACCCACCTACCTCGTTATATACCCTACGGCATTATAAAAACTCAATTCTAAATATTTTCTCACATCTTTTCATTTGGAATTATCGGTGCCCCCCAAACTGATTGCCCCTTTTAAAGTTTTTTTCAGCTGCACCCCTGTTTATGTGTTTAAGAGGTTTAGACTCTGGGTTTTTATCTTTTCTTGTGTGTGTGCGCGTGCATTTGTGTTTGTTATGCCCCCTTATCCGCCCACATCCAAACATGTGCCATCATTTGGGAGTCGCATCAACATGCGCTGACAGTTTTGTGTCACCTTATGAATTTTTGACTTTTGTGATGTGCGTAGGTGCAGGCTGATTTGGAGAGACTATACGGGCAGCGAGCCACCGGTCTGGCTGCCAAGCACACAGAAAAAAAAGGAGGAGGAGGAGGAGAAAAAAAAATCTCTTTAGGTGGTGTGTTTGTAGGAGAGAAAAAATGGAAAGCTTTCTCTTTCGTATTCTGAACATACCTACTCATCTTCCACAAACCCCCCCTTCTCTTTCTTCTTTCATCCCTCTTGGGGTTTGAGCTCAGGAGGATAAGTGAGAGTGAGCTGATTTGGAAGCAGTGGAGGAGATGCAAGGACATGTGAGAAATGTCTTTTTTTTTAAGTGCGTGTCATAATGACATCGCAGTGCTGGGACTCCTTGATAAGGCTGAAACCTTGAGCATCACCTCCTCTTTGGAGTCGAGGCGTGACATCCAGAACGACTGCATTCGTCGTTACGCAGATGACGCTCTGACTGTAGGGAACATTTGACTTCCTGTTATACCTGCAACCACAGTGAGCTTTTTAGCCCAAAATGAGTCACTGTCGGACTTGGGCAACAGATTTACACGCTCTGAGCTGCCTTTAACCTAATTACCCAGTTTATTCTCAGAGTGTTGTATTATTTATTTGTTCTCAGAAGACAGGAACCCCTCTGCTTGCTGTGCTTAGATCAATCTTTTAATGTGTTATGTGGATCTGTGGGGGCTTTATCTAATTTCTATCAAAGGGACTGCAAGTCTGCTGCTTCCCACTCACATACTGTATAAAGCAGTTTTTTTTTTTTTTACATACTTTATTGGAATTATTAAATGTGAAGATAGAAAACTATATTTATAGATTTAGAATGAAACTTAAAGTGTGGCCGAAAAGCTGAAAAAAGAAAGTTTTTGTGTTTTTGTAATCTAAAATGAGGCAGTTTAAATTATATGTATTGTTTTATTAGGGAGGAGTCAACTGAACATTTGTGTCAGAGGAGAATCGTCACCTTGCCCACAGCTGAAAAGGTTGTAGTTAGTCGAAGGGAAGCGCACGTGTGTCAACAGGAGTCAGGTGGTGGAGCGCAGCCTCTGCCTCCATCGCCACCAACGGGCTCAGACCCTGGCTGAGATGAGGGCCACAGAGAATCAACATAAACCCTTTAGGTGCTCCATGTCTCAAGAGGATGTGACAACATAAAAAGTTGGAGATGGTGTACAGATATGACAGAACATATCAATAAAGCGGTTTAAGGTTATTTTTTCTGATAAACCCCAGGAGTGCGCGCTGCCATAACTCTGCCACAGGACGGAATGAAACTGACATTAAACCAAGAGCGTTTTATGCACAGTGCTTTCAAAAATCTACATTTAAGTACTGTTTAGGGGCCCGGTGGGAAGTGAAGTGCCGACCCAGCAGTTTGAGAGCCAAGTTCTCTCCTGTTGAGCTACTGATGACTGTGGGCTGCAAGGTAAATTGGTGTTTCACAACAAAACATCAGCCTGAAACCCGCCAACAATGTCTGATTTAACTGCTGCTTGAATAATAATAGTTTCTAGTAAATCACATTTACATGTTTTCAAAACATAAAAAGATGTTAAGTTGTTCAAAGTTAGGCTTCCACAAATAAATACACATGAGAGTATAAACTGCAGAAGAATTTGACGAACTATAGCCTTGCTGGTCCGCTCTGGCTCAGTAGATTATTTTCTAGTACTAAGCATTGCTGGACCTTAAAGAAGTGGTGTGTTGGATTGGAATTTAAAACAAAAAAGGAAATGGTTGAGCGGCAGAGAAAAAAAACACCAATCGCCTCTATAACTTTCTAAGCAATGTTCACTCCCTTCAATTTAAAGTCATATCTTAAAGCACAGCAACTAGGGGTGGGCAGCAGTTGGATAGAAGGAAGCATTAGAACTTGTTAGAAATCTGCCATTTTTGTGTTGTTGACAAAGCGCCTTCTGGTTGTCCTTTTTATATCACCTTGTGTAGATGCTGAAAGCACGTTTGCAGATTTTCTGTTTAGGGATTTCTTTGAGCTTTAGGTACTGGACTTTAAAACAACGGCATATTGACAGAGCTATTTGCTGGTCTGGATTCACAGATATATAAGCGTAGGTGTCATCCTATACCTAATCCAAAGAGTTTAACATGATGTCACCCCACGCTTTGCAGCTATAGCAGCTTTAACTGTTCCAGGAAGGCTTTCTGGAAGCGTGGTCAGCAACCTCATAGCAGGGGGTGTTCAACTCCATTCCTCAGGGGGTGGGTGTCCTAAAACCTTTATAGGTTTCCCTGCGCTCTACCACACCTGATTCAGATTGCAGTTTAGGAAAAGCCCGATAGTAATCAGAGGCAATCAAGATGGTAAGGCAGGGACCAATCAGAAATATGCAGGGCCCTCACCACTGGAGTTGAACACCCCTGAGTCATGGGAATTTGTTGCATTTTTCCACAAGTTTATTTGTGAGGTCAGACGTTGATGTTGTATGTGAAGATCTTGGTTGTTTGCTTAGATTTTTACCGAAGGTGTTTCTACATTTTGGGATCAAAACTTTCTTCAGGACAGTTAAATTCTTCCATACCAGATCTGCTCAGTTATGCCTTCAGACCTCATTTTGTTGGCTGTTGTCCTCTCAGGTTGCCTTACGGAACATCCGTAAAACCTTCCTGCCTGGTTAGAAACGTTAACATCTCTATAATGTAGCGGTCTGCTCAGTGCAAGGGTGTTGTACTCATAAACATTTCTGAGATCCATTTCTTACATCTCTTAGATTTGTCCCTGGTCCATCAGACTTGAATCAGATAGCTTGGCCAGACTGACTAATTTGCAGTATGGAAATGAACTGATTTTAAAACGCAGGAATAACAGAATCTGCAGAAACAATTGTGATGCAAAAACTTTTTGTGTTTCAAAAATTAAAAGCCTAGCCAGTAGTTGACATTTTAATTATTTGCTCTTTTGGAAAATATAATAAAGAACATAATTAAAACATTTCTCTGTTGCAGCTTGAAACCTGACTGTTACGGTTGTATTTTGGGCCTACGTCCTGCACTGTGAGGCCCTCTCTAAGTCAGTCTGGCTACCCAGGATGGTCCTGCTAATGGCACAAATATGTGACTCAGATGTGTTAAAGCAGAAGACTTATCTGAAAGTGATACTCTCCCTTGACGACTATAGTGTTACAGTACACCTGTACCTATAAACCAGTGGTAGTGGACCTTCCGACACGGAATCCTATGTTCTACATGGCATTTAGTAAGCTGCATGCAAGATTAGCAGATTTATAGGACTCAGCTCTGAGCTTACATGCATCATAACTAATCTTTTAATCAAAAATGGTTGAAGCCCTTAATCTTTACCCAAACAGTATTTAAACATGTTTTTAATCAACCCCTATGAAGATCCTGTGTACCGACAGTGGAACATGTACCACTGATTGATTGGCTTTGTAGAATC